GTAAAGGGCACTACTCCAAGAGATGGACGGCGGAGATACGGGGAGGGAGGGAGGCGGGCGTCCCATGTGTGGGACATTGGCGATGCCTTGCTCCCAAGGGCTGGTGGGGAGAAGCTCGGGGTCTCAGGCAGACTCTCCCACCCACTTCCCAGACAAAGAGGTTCCTTTCAAACTCGGATCCGAAAGTTGAGCGACTTGCAGAAAGTGGCCCGGAGAGCAGAGACCTCTTCTTCTGCAGCTGGCTCTCTGTCTAGCTCCCTGCCCTGTGCATGGCTGTCGCTGCCAAAAAGGACTGGGGAAGAGGGGTGCGCCTACACCGTGGAATGAATGCAGTTTGACGCCGCTTTAACTGCCGTCAAGTGTTACGGAATCACAGAATGCTGTAGGGAGGCACATAGCACTCCTTAGACTCATAGAGTTGGAAGAGACCTCCTGACCCACCCAGTCCAACCCCCTGCCAAGAAGCAGGAAAATTGCATCAAAGCACCCTTGACAGATGGCCATCCAGCCTCTGTTCAAAAGAAGAGCTTCCACCACACTCCGGGGCAGAGAGTTCCACTGCTGAACAGCTCAGTCTGGATATCTGCTGAGTACAATTCATATCATCAAGTTAAAACTACCTCATTTCACCTTAAACCAAGGCAACAGCTATAGTAGTTAGTTTGCAAACAGGCACACTTATTTATTTATTTGTATACCACCCTTCTCAGCCCTCGGGCGACTCAGGGCAGTTTACAATGGCAACGATTTGATACCAAAAAACACCATAAAACAATTTAAAACATTAACACATGAATATAAATAAATATAAAATTAATATGAATTAATATAAAACCAAACCGCCTTGAGTCGCCGATAGGCTGAGAAAGGCAGTGTACAAGTATAGTAAATAAATAAATAATAAAACCATAACAAGAATGTTAAAAGATAGATTTATAAACTAATAATGTCCAGAATGTTGTTTGAACTCAATTGATTTCCAAGCAAGGAAAGCACAAAAGTTGTGGAGACCATAGAATCATTGAGCTGGAAGAGACATTGTTGGCCATCCAGTCCAACCCCCTACCAAGAAGCAGGAAAATCACATTCAAAGCATCCCCAACAGATGGCCATCCAGCCTCTGCTTAAAAGCCTCCAAAGAAGGAGCTTCCACCACTGCTGAACAGCTCTCACAGTCAGAAAGTTCTTCCTAATGTTCAGGTGGAATCTCCTTTCCGGTAGTTTGAAGCCATAGTTCCGCGTCCTAGTCTCCAGGACAGCAGAAAACAAGCTTGCTCCCTCCTCCCTATGACTTCCCCTCACATATTTATGCATGGCCCTCATCATGTCTCCCCTCAGTCGTCTCTTCTGCAGGCTAAACATGCCCAGCTCTTTAAGCCACTCCTCATAGGGCTTGTTCTCCAGACCCTTGATCATTTTAGTCGCCCTCCTCTGGATACATTCCAGCTTGTCATGGCAGAGAAGTCTAAAGAGCTTGTCCAACTACAACTCTGATTCCACAGCACTGGACCAGGACAGTTCAAGTGGTGGCAAACTATATTCATGCACCCTGGTATGCACACACTGTCCCCTCTGACATCAGTGACCAGTTCTCTTGCTCAGCTGAGAAGATGGTTTTAAAGCAGGCATGGGCAAACGTAAGCGGCTGAGCTCATGTGGTAGAAATGACAAAAGACTTCCGGGACAACAAAGACTTCATGTCCATGAAGAATTGCTGTCAAGTTCCATTGCCAAAGTTGTATATGCACTCTTGTATGGTTCACAGAGAAGCACAAAGATTTTAGTTAAACCAGTAGTAGGAACTGCAAAAGACGTTGGTTCTTTCTTTCTTTCTTTCTTTTTGGAAATCTAGATACCCATGAACTGCGGGGAAAGGGCCTGAGGCCAGGAATTGTGGGAGTTGGAGTCCAAAACACCTGGAGAGCCAAAGTTAGCCCATGCCTGCTCTTAAAGGGTGCATCTACACCAGCATTTCTCAACCTGGGGGTCACGAGGGGGGTGTCAGAGGAGTCACCAAAGACCATCAGAAAACACAGTATTTTCTGTTGGTCATGGGGGATCTGTGTGTGAAATCCCAGCAACTACAACTCCCAAATGTCAAAGTCTATTTCCCCCAAAATCCACCAGTGTTCACATTTGGGCATACTGAGTATTCGTGCCAAGTTTGGGCCAGATCTATCATTGTTTAAGTCCATAGTGCTCTCTGGATGTAAGTGAACTACAATTTCAAAACCCACGATCAATGCCCGTCAAACCCTTCCACTATTTTCTTTTTTAAAAAATTGTTTTTATTAATTATTTCACACACAAAAATCTAATATATAATCAGAAAACATACATTCAAAAATAATAAAACGTGTCCAGATCTGTATGCAAATAGCAACTTGTGCAAAATAAGTGTTTGATGGGCATTGATCATGGGTTTTGAAGTTGTAGTTCACCTACATCCAGAGAGGTAGCTGGTGGCACTATTGCTATTATCCAGATGGAAACAGTTTTTCCTAAAACATAGTAACCAATAACTCTAGTTAGGAATAGTTTGCATGGATTTTGCTTTGAAAATGTCATTCCAGTATGGGAGTTCTGTGTGCCAAGGTTGGTTCAATTCCATTGTTGGTGGAGTTCAGAATGCTCCTTAATTGTAGGTGAATGATAAATCCCAGCAACTACAACTCCCAAATGTCAAGGTCTATTTTCCCCAAACTCCACCAGTGTTCACATTTGGGCATGCTGAGTATTCATGCCAAGTTTGGGCCAGATCTATAATTGTTTGCGTCTATAGTGCTCTCTGGACATACGTAAACGACAACTTCAACACCCATGATCAATGCCCACCAAGCCCTTCCAATATTTTCTGTTGGTCATGAGAGTTCTGTGTTCCAAAGTTGGTTCAATTCCATCATTGGTGGAGTTCAGAATGTTCAGATATTTACATTACAATTCATAACAGTAGCAAAATTACCCTTATGAAGTAGCAATGAAAATAATTTTATGGTTGGGGGTCACAAAGTGACCCCCAACCAGTATTAAGGGACGCCGCATTAGGAAGTTTGAGGACCACTGATCTGCACTGGAATGAATGCAGTTTGACATTATTTTAACTGGCATGGCTCTGCCCTACGGATCATGGGATTTGCAGCTTGGTGAGCCACCACTACTGTTTGGCAGAGAAGGCCAAAGACTTTGTAAAACTACAGCGCCCAAAGCTGCCCTCAGAGTGGCTTTGGGAAGTGCTAAAATTGTTAGAAGTGACTAGAAATCATTACTGCTTTTGAGAGCCAGCCTGGTGCCATGGTTTGTGCTTTGGATTAAGACAATCTCTACTGGGCTATTATGGAGGTCCACTTTCTTGGGCAAGTCACACTCTCGGCCTCAGAGGAAGGCAAAGGTATTTATTTATCAGGAGCCAACCAAAACAGTTGTATTGCATTAAAAACAAACAAACAAACAAAACACAAAGTTTGCAGACTTGGTATTCTATTAAATGTCCTTTGACCAGAAGCTGGCCACTTGGAGTGCCTCTGGTGTTGCTGCAAGAAGGTCCTCCATTGTGCATGTGGCAGGGCTCAGGTTGCATTGCAGTAGGTGGTCTGTGGTTTGTTCTCCATACGTGCATGCCGTGGATTTCACTTTGTAGCCCCATTTCTTAAGGTTGGCTCTGCATCTCGTGGTGCCAGAGCGCACTCTGTTCAGTGCCTTCGAAGTTGCCCAGTCTTCTGTGTGCCCAGGTGGGAGTCTCTCATTTGGTGCCAGCCATTGATTGAGGTTCTGGGTTTGAGCCTGCCACTTTTGGACTCTCGCTTGCTGGAGTGTTCCAGCGAGTGTCTCTGTAGATCTTAGAAAACTATTTCTTGATTTAAGTTGTTGGCGTGCTGGCTGATACCCAAACAGGAGGTGGGCCAGAGATGTCACTGCCTTGGTCCTTTCAATATTGGTTGCTACTCCCTGGCAGATGTCGGGTGGTGCAATACCAGCTAAACAGTATAATTTCTCCAGTGGTTTAGGGCGCAGGCACCCCGTGATAATGCGGCATGTCTAATTAAGAGCCACATCCACTGTTTTAGCGTGGTGAGATGTGTTCCACACTGGACATGCATACTCAGCATTAGACAACAGAGGCTGTAATTTTGTATTAAGGTCATGGGAGAAAATTTCACTGAAAGTAATGGGACTTACCATTGAGAGAGCCGGCATGGCTTAGCAGTTTGGGTGTTGGACTTTGAAGACCAAGGTTTAAATCTCTGTTCTAACTGTAGCAGGTGACCTTGGGCAAGTCACACTTCCTCTCAGATGCAGTGGAAAGCAAAGATAAAAAAAAATCCACTCTGAATGAATCTTGCCAAGAAAACCCTCTCCTGGTTCACAATGCTTACAATAACAACAGACATAGGGATCATGCTTTCATTCTGTTTAGGTAAAGAGCTTTGGACAAACCAACCCCAGATTGAGTAAAAATATCTGTACATCTTTTCATTCAGCTGCCGGATTATCTGCCACTAAACACAGTACGTTGAGAACATTTGACATGATCGAGCAAAATGAATCCTTTCCATTGACCCCTATTTAGCATTGTCACAGTCATGACTGTTTCTGCTCCTTCAACCTGTAAACTGTAGTAAAACCAAAAGGGTTTCTTGATATGCAGTGATCAATTTCAGGAGCCCCCAGTGGCGCAGTGGATTAAACCCTTGTGCTGGCAGGACTGAAGACCGACAGGTCGCAGGTTTGAATCCGGGGAGAACATGGATGAACACCCTCTATGAGCTCCAGCTCCTCTTATGGGGACATGAGAGAAGCCTCCCACAAGGATGGGAAAACATCAAAACATCTGGGCGTCCCCATGGCAACTTCCTTGCAGATCGCCAATTCTCTCACACCAGAAGCAACTTGCAGTTTCTCAAGTCACTCCTGACATGACAAAAAAAAATCAAAACAAATGACTGCATCGGATCTGAACCCCTGATCATAAAATGAGCATTGTAAATGAATGATAAACAGTG